TGGATGTTTCCATTGCTGGGGTGAAGGGCCAAGTGCAGGGGGAGTAACCCCACCTGTCCCTGCCACAGGACAGGGGAAGCATCACCAATGGGAGAGGGGGAAACAGCAGAACCCACGTCCTGTGTGGGGGCTGAATCCAGCTCTGCTGAGTAGGCAAAGGGCCATGATTCCCATCCAGCCTAGAAGGTGCATGACAATGAGCTGGGACCTGAGCAGATGAGGAAGCATGTCCTGCTCACAAGGCTGAGCCTGCAGCAGCTTCCCCAGCCCCTCCTTAGTCTATTATCACTGAAGCTCTGGGATGTGTGCTCGTAGGGGCGGCACTGGCAGTTGCAGTAATGGATTCCTTCCTGCCCAGGAACTGACAGGAACTCCAGGCACGCACCAGCCCCAGTGAATCAGAGAAGGGAAAACTGGGCTAAAATGGGAATCAGCCCTGATGGGATCTGACTGTGCCAACTTGTCTCCAGAAAGGGCTAATTGGAAGGTCCTGCTTAGGGCCATAGAGCTGGCAGCATTGGAGGGTAAAAGTTCTTTGTTTGGTCCCAAGTGCCAGAAGAAGGTGCTGGGCAGAACCATGTTTCCATCATAGCAGCAGGGACCAGATCACTTTGTTGCTCTTGTTTCCATAAGTTCAAAGTGCAAACTCATATCCAGTGTCTCCCAGAAGCAAGTATCTTCTCTTCCTGCTTCCCCGTAGCTTTCCGTGTCCTTGCCCTTCCTTGTAGTTGGGCTGTACCAGGAACAAATACTTTCCTGTCACCCTTGCATGGTGTTTTTGGGGTGATAGGGACATGAACTCCTGAGCCAGGTGACAGAGGATTTAATAGAAAAAAGGAAGACTCAGGTCTCTGCTCCAAGATGGAGTGGCTGCCCCACCTAGGAAACCATTACAGGAGCTTTTGCTGGTAAACTGGAGGTCTCTGAGTTGATGGATGTTGGTTTGGATAAGGATGTTTGCTGGCTTGTGGCTTTTGAGCCACGTCCTACTATCCAGACAAATTACAGCTTGTATAATGAATTGTTTGTTTTGCAGTTCTCCTGGTGCCTACGTGCAGATCCACCAGGAGCTCAGGCTCCATCTCAGCTCCAAAATAATGGTCTCCTTTCCTCTGCTGAGAACTCTCTTTCCTAGATGACAGCAGACAGAAATATCAGAGGGGCTGAATCTATTCTGCAAAAATAATCTTTGCTGCAGCGCAAGCCCCTTGCATGGACAGAGCAGTTGATTTTCTGTGCTGACAGGGCAGCTTTCTGAGCCAGAAGGTTCAGCTTGGCTGACTCTCCAGTGGTTACATACAGGGGTAGCACCAGCACAACAGCGTGGGGGACAGGAGCTCCATTCATGGAGCATTTGCTAAACATCAGTTTTCTCAAACAAGAGCTCTGTTGTACCCCAGTTCTTGGTCTGTCTCTGCATAAATTTGCTAAGACTTCTAATGTCTTCAAGCTTGCTGGATACTTACAAGATAAACTACTTCCTGATAGCTATTTTGGTGGCATTACAGATTACAGAGGATTTTTTTATTTCTTTACAAGAGCTTGGGTATTTTCTGTGGGCAATATTTTCTTGGAATGGTGACCTCAGATCCGTCTCATCTTGCATGTTGATCCTGGTTCCTGTGTGGTTGGCTGTGCAGCAGCTGGAGTTGTCCTCCTTATGTTGGTGCTCCACTGGCCCTCTCTTGCTCCATGAGCTGGCTGTGGTCAGGGCTGTGGGGCAGCAGGGGTGTGAGGTCCCTGAGCTACATGTTGGGGCACCTTCCTCCTGTGAGTCCCACTGCAAGGTGGGTTTTCCTGCATGGCAGCCCCAGAGCCACCTCCCTGCAGCACAACCACCATCTGCCTAGCCTGGCAGCCACCAAGCATCAGTGCCTTGGGAAGAGATTAAAGTCAAACAAGCTCGTAGCAGTTCTTCTCTAAACACTGTCCAAGCTTTTAGGGTTTTTCTGGGTTTATAACTAATGTTTTTTAATTAGCCGTTCTTGCCTGAATTATGCCCCTGTAAGTCCCATGAAGATTTTCAGTGTCTGCCCTTCAGTAAGGAGTTTAACAGCTCCCCTACATACTGCTGAAGAACAGCCAGCTTCTGTTTGTTCTGAAGGGCCCTCCCAAGCTGTTAGCTTTGCTTCATGCCCACACCACAGCCTTGTGCTCCCCATCTCATTCTTTCCCATCACTGGATCCAGAGGGATGCTGTCTGATACACTAGAGAAGATGCTTGAGAATCCTGACACTTTTTTTCCTAAAAAAAGGGGCATGAGGAATATTACTTGGTGCTGAGTCCTTCATGTGTAAGAGTTTCCTTTCAGGATTGCACTGGGGGATAATTAGGTTTGTGAAGGACACTGAACTGAGGCTGCTGCACTCTAAGACTATCTTGTTGGCTTAGTGCTACCAATGAGACTCCAGTCCCACAGAAACCCTTCCTTGCCTTCAGTGTTCCGAAAAAGGAGCTGGGAAAGTCCTGAGAAGCAGCTGGAGAACTCGTGGTGGCTTTTACCACCTGGGAAGCTTGTGGGGCTGTTTGGTGGCACACAGCTGTAGCTGTGTAGTGATGCCTTGTAATTGTGCTGGGACTGCCTGGTTCATCTGCACAGCCTGGCTGTTTTGGGGGTGAGAGCCAAATGAGTTTCACAGTGGACTGCAGAGGGGCCTTTCCTTCTTCTCCTCTTCTGGAGCCACTGGTTTCCAGGAAGCAGTGCACATGAGCTCTGCTGCATGCCTTTCTCTGGTCCACAGGGAGTGGAGGAGGAGGAGGAGGAGATGCTGCTGGGAGTTTATTGCTGTTTCCTGTCTTGTCTGAGCTCTTGTCCCCTCTGAGGTGGTGGGCTGGGGCTGCTGCTCTTCAGACCTGCAGTTCTTTGTATCTGTGCCAGGAACAACCCAGCAGCAAAGTGAAATTGCAGCTCTTTCCTTGCGCCCTCAATCAGATGGAGCAGCCAGTGAAAGGAAACAGGGGGATGAGTTACAGTAATAGGTTTAGCAGATGGCAGGGGAAACAGTTATTTCCATCAGCACCCTCCTGTCAGCACAAGAGTGCCATGCCCACCTGCTGATCTCTAGCGTGCTCATCTGGCCTTGCTTTGCCTCCCATCCCCACTGTGCACATGAGCTGGGGGCTTATTTAATGGGGCTTATTGATAAACTCTGATTTAGCTCTGCAGTGCAGTCTCTGCTTAGAAATATCTTTGGGATGTTCTGTCCAGAACATATTCCTCCATTGGTCTTTGCACCTGGGACATGGTATTCAGGTCCTTGCACAGTTCTGTGGTCTCAGAACTTAATAGATAGTCTCCAATTTCTAGAAAACTATGTCCCATTTGTTCCTAGTCCATCTTTGTTGCATATCATTTAGTTTTATTGATAGGTCCATGGATGACTACCAGAGGTTTAAGGTGCAAAGAGAAGGGGGAACTGGGAGGATAAGGCATTGCCAGCAAAATGCATTGCCAGGGGGGTGGGCAGTCATCAAAGGCGGCCAAGTCCCAGCATCACCCTGTGGCTCCAGAGGAATTAAATGTCTGTAGTAATTATGGTCTGAAAATGCAGATAAGCTTGAAAGAGAACAAAGGGTAGCCCAGCTCTGCCTGCCTTTCTTGCTGAGCACAGAGGGATTTCTCTGCCTGCCTGCAAACAAAGAGGAGGGAGGAGAAGAGATAGTTTTGCCAGTGGACTTGATAAGCAGATGAAGGGGCTCCTGGAGTCCCCTTGGGCTGGTCCAGCCACCTTCCAAGCAGTGGTCAGGCAGCTTGAAGCTTCAGGAGGGTCCCCTTATCAGCAGGGCAATGTTTTCCTTCTTGGAAGCTCCAGTGCCTGCTCTGTTCTTGTTACTCTTCCTGGAAGTAACAAGGATCAATGTGTGTCTCCTCATACCAGAATATTTCATCTTGGCCAGATAGGCTTGCTCTGCCACATGTGTGAGTGTGAGGAGCAGGGAAAGCAGTCTCCTCCCTAGGTGGGCAGGGAGCAGGTTTCCATCGCCCCACACTACAGCAGCACTTCAAGGCCACAGCAGCTAATTATGTGACAGCGCTGAGAGTTCTTTGGTAGCAACATGGACAGCTGTGGTTGGCCTGGGGACAGAGCTGGGGCATTAGTTTGGGTTTCAGGCTGGTTGGGTGTCTTGGTGTGTTACCCATGATTTTTTGAGGCTTTTCTGGGCCAATGTTTTCTTTCAATTGATGTTTGTTTTTCAATCATGAAATGCCTGAGAATTTCATTGTGCCTGAAGAGGGTTGTGCTTGTGTCCTGGGTTTGAGGCTCTTCAGTGACCATGTTTCTTGGCAACATTCAGATAAGACAAGGGATGGAGAATCTGTGGTTTCTAACCCAGCTCATCAGCGGTGTGGCCAGTGGTGGCTGTAGCAAGAGGACTTGGGATGGAGCTACTTCATTGCCTCCTTATAACCACCGATAGCTCCTGCTTGATCTGTCCTGGAAGCACTTTTTTTCTGTAGTGCAGCCCTGGATTCATTCTCTCCACAACAGCTGAATGACTTCCTCTGTTTTGGGGTCTAAATGTTTGCCCCTTTCCCAGCCAGTCCTCATACATGTCCTCAGGAGAGGTGCAGGACATGGAGAAACTTCAGTATTTCCTTTTTTGTCCCTCTTCAAAGTGGTCCCCACTTCTATGGGAGCTGAGGTCTGTGGTGGGAGCAGTTCTGGGGGTTTGGGTTTTCCCAGCTCCTGATTCTGCTGCCAGTTTTTCCCAAGCCACCCACTTTAACCAAGTGCCATGGTGGGAGTTGTGGCTGTCAGAGCAAGCCACCAAGGAGCCCAGGCCAGCAACTGAGCCTCACCCTGGGGAAGACAAAAGCATTATATTACTAAGTGTCTGTGTGTGTGGAAACTGGGTGCTGGCAAGGTGGGTAATGTCCCATGTCATCTGTGGGGATGTTGGCTGAGGGAGGTCAGTGGTTCCATGTGGGTTTGTCATTTGGCCAACAACCAACCCAACGGCCCCATCCTTTGCTGATGCTCTTCCTTTTCTTTTTCAGGGAGCCCATTGGAAAGAAGAGGTCTGGTAAGGACTCCTTTCCTCCGTGACTGTTCCACCAGATCCTCTTGTCACCTACTGCTGTGGTCTCCTCGAGTGGGACAAGGGTCTGGCCACATGGTGGGCCAACCCCTGGCTATACTCTCCTTTGGGGTGTGGGGCTTCCCAACACGATGTGCCCCCACTGTCTACCCTGGGTTTCACTGCAACCTCAAAGTCCTGGTCTTACCCTTGTGCCTCCTAAGGTGGGACAGACGCCCGCAGTTCTCCAGCTGCACTGGCCTCCCTCTTCACTCATTAATGAAGTTGTTGCCACCATGGTTGCCACCCCCTGTCCATTTCCTGCCCTGCCTCATGCCTTGTCTCCCCTCATTTTGTTCCCCCATCAGGGTTTATCCAGAGAACGGCCTCTTTCCTGCAGAGAGGTAGTAACAGCTGCTCGCTGCCCAGCCCTGCTCTTGCTTTGCCTTTTGCTGGGGGGGCTGCCTGCTCGGGCTGGGTGGGCAAGCCCCTTGCAAAGAACCTGTCACATCCCCCGTAGCTTTCTGTGGTGGCTGGTGGACACGGGGCAGTAGTGGAGAGGAGGTAGAGCGGGCTCGGGGCAGCTGTCAGTACAGCTCCACGTGCAGGGGCTCTGTTGTGGGTCTTGGGTGAAGGATGGGGCTTGGTCTGCAGCCAGGAGGATGGGGATGCAAAATTTCCCAAGTCCAAAAGAGGGTCTGAGCTGCACAGTGGATGCAGTGGTACGTTCTGATTGATGATTGCACCAGCTGGGACCCTTTGCGTGAATGGTTGGGTCTGGGATGCACTACCCCTGGTCCTCAAGAGAGGGGGGCATCTCTGAAAGACCCCCTAGTTGGTGTAGTTTAGCAGTTATCTGAGCTTCCTCTCCTTGAGAAAGAGAAGGAGAGAGGAAGGGAAGAGCCTTCAGTCTGTGAATTAGGGAGGGCATCTTTCAACTACTGGAACTACAGAAGGTACAGAAATAGCTTGAGGGTCCTTGGGAAGGAAGGTCTGAGTCTTGGCTGGATGGAGATTCTGCTGAAATAGGTTGTGGAAAAGTTTTTGGCCTGAGAGTTGGCATTGAGAGTTTGGCATTGAGTTGGCATTTGCTCCATGAGCAAATTCACTTTTGTAGATAAGTGGGTTCTTGGAGGAGAGAGAAAAGGTACAAGGGAGTATCAAATACTTAATTCCACCTTCTTTTCTACTCTATCTGCAGAGCATCCCTCCCTCAAGAACTGATGGTGTCACAGCCTCTTACCTCTGACTAGCTGTAGGATGCATATGAAAAGTTCAGATGTTGTCTGTGAAATAGTGGCTTCTGGTTTTGCTCTGTTCTCATGGGCAGGTCATCACTGGGTGCTCTGCTGATTGACTAGCACAGGTTTGCCACTATAGTTATACCTCTAGCCAATATTTTCTCCTCAAACCCTGGCTGCTGCAAGGTGTTTCTGCCCAAGCTGGACCTTGGGATGGTTGTTTTTTAGCTCTAATGAGCTATTTGCAAACACAGACTGCAGTTTTTGTACTAGTTTTCTTGTACTGAAGCGGTGGGTCCTCAACTAGCTTTGGAGGCAGAAAGAAGTCTCTGGTTGTGGGTGGGACAAAAACAGGCAGAGAACAGGGAGAGTTTGGGTAACCAAGGCAGAGCCTGTCCTGGCAGGACAGGGTGCAGTGTTTTGCCCATGACATCTGGCATGTGTGCAGGAGCCATCAGGGAAAGATGTTTGCATACAGAAGGGTTACAAAGGGCTGATGCCCTGTGCCAGATGTGTTGGGACTTCTCTCGCTGTCTTGCATTTTCTTGGCAGCAGAAACAGAATTTGGTTCTGCTGCTGTCACCCCGAATCTCTTTCTACCTTGTGGGGGTCCCTGACTGTTGATCAGGTTCTCAAGCCAGGCACAAAAAAAGGCTCTTTCAATAGAGGATCCCCCTAAGGTGGGGGCAAGCAATTGCTGTTCAGGAGCAAAACCAGTGAGAATTCTCTCCCAATTGCTTATTTCTCCCAGCATTGCCAGAGAGGGGGTGAGCTGCTCTTCAGGAGAGTGTTGGAACGACCTCCTGAGCTCCTGGCACAGGAACCCTGTTTTGACGTGGGATTAAGCAAACACTGGGATATGAAGTGAGCTAAATTGCTGCCTGTCCTCAGGCTCTTGTAGTGACCAAGAGACTCAAGTGACATTTGCTGTTGCAATGAGGGCCCAGTGTAAGTGAGCATTGGAAAGAAAATCTGTTTCCTCTGCTGAGTTTTTTTTTTGCCAGGATTTGTAATCCCTCATGTCTGTGAGCCTTAGGCATGGGCCCAGACTTTATGCAGCCTGCAGCTTGCAGGGGGGTGGATTATTCCCCAGACTCTGAAGACTGACTTGGCCACTGATTTAGGTATGTCTAAAAGTAGTCATCATATCAGTCCCCAAGACTGTTTTGAGCATTTCTGTTCACTCCTCCTCTTGCAGATAAACAGAAAGCACAGATGGAGAGTCATGGGTTCAGTGCAGCACTGACAGTGCAGGGGAACCTAAAACTATCTCTCAAGTTTATATTTGGGTGGAGCTATCCAAGGAGCCTGGCAGAGGACCCCCCTGCCAGCTTTATTTCAGATGCTTTCTTGTGTGGCCACATCCTTTTGCTGTGCTATGCAGTGAGCCTGCAATGCTGCAGAGATCCCAAACCCCAGTGTTTAGTCTGATGAGAGAGTGAAAACACAGCTGTCATATCCCACAGCAGCCATAGGGGGACTTTTCTAAAACTCCACTGGTATTTCCATGTGATTATTTTCCAGTTCTGGAAAAATCCTTGGAGAGATGAGAAGTAGTCTTGTGAAGAGTACAGCACAACGTGCCCATTTCATATGAGAGCAGGAAGAAACTCACTTTTGCAGTACTGATCTTCACAAATTCATCAGGTCTGGGGGAAGATGGCTGTCCTGAGAGCATGGGACAGATTAGCACAGGCCAGAGGACTGGAAGGTTCTCCAAGTAAGGGGTGTTGAGGATAAACAGTCTGTGCTCTTGCCTACATCTCTCTCCAGAATGCACTCTCTTGTGGGCTCTGGACTGTACTACTGCTCAGAGCTCCCAGCTGCAGAACTTTAGTACCGTCTCTCATCTTAGATGGCAAGGTTTACACCATTGCTATATTTAAGATACTAAATCTGCCCATAAATAGGATGTTTGTTGTTAACTTGAGTGTATATTTTTGTGGTTGAGGACGATTATGCCAGGTGAAGATGTTCCTGAAAATTCCTCCTACTTCTTCCTCCAAGCTCAGTTTACCACTTCTGTTGTTGGTTTAATAGGTACATTGGAGGATCCAGAATTGTCTTCTGAAACTACAAATAGCCTCAAGCAATTGATGTAATTATAGGAAGTGTGGCAGAAACTAGAGTACATCTCTCATCCTATAGCTGTTATTCTTCTCTCAGAGCCTGGGTAGATCCTCTGATCACTTTAAGGACAAACCTTTAATTGAGCTAGTAGAACAGATAGTCCCAGCATCCACCATTCACTTTAGAGGACTATTTTTAATTGTCTGGTGCCCCACCTCTGGACTTTGGCATGGGGAAAGCTTTCATTAGTGGTAACACAACCTCTGCACTCAGCCAGCTCACCTGGAGCTCTGCAGACTGCTGTTTATAGCCTCATCTTCCTTTAAGTAAGGCTGCCCTGAAAGTAACTTGTTCATTTAAATCTTTGTTGTGGTCTTTCTTTGTCAGAGCCAGTTTGAGAGGTTGTGACCTTGGGCACAGGAGATCTTTGTGGGGGAGCAGAACATTCTAGGATTGCTGAAGACCTGCTAGATCTTATAAATCTCTACTCATCTCTCATTCCATCTACTCTAGGATTGTGCCTTGCAATAGGTTCTCCCACAGGAAATCTCTCTTGTCAGGCTGAGACCTCTCAGGTGATGGGGAAGCTGTTGCAGTGTAGGTGCATTTGCTCCTGGAAACTTCTTCCTGATGTGTAGCCTGAATTAGTCTTTGCTGCATTTTGCCTTTATGTCCCAAAGAACCATCACTCTCTTGCTCACACCCACCAGTGACAGGGAGGTGACTGTCCCCTGTATCTGCCGTGGGACTTCAGCCCAGCCCTGGAGGCTCCTGGCTTAGGGTACAGGCACAGCCCCTCTGAATTCAACCTAACACACTGGGATCGGGTGTGTGGTTCTTTTGTATCGCTCTGACCTGTAATAATTAACGCTGTCCTATTTCCAAAGCACTTGGCAAATATTAATTAACTCTTCCTGCCCCTGGGGAGAACTGGGCCATTATAGCAGAGCTGGGTGGGGCTGCCCAGGCTGGGCTCGACACGGGCACAGGCAGCCCCTGCTCCCGGGGGTCGGCAGAGCCCGGGGTCACCTCGTGGTCTCCCTGCACACAACAAGCTCGTGTGGGAAAAGGGCAGCTTTACTGGGTGTTCGGGGACAGCCTTGGGGCCACCTCTCTAAAGCAGGGACGGGAAACGGCAGCGCCAGGCGAAGGGGCATCTGTGGCCGGAGCGCTCTCCTAAGTGTCACCTGCTGGCAAAAGAAAAGCCCCCCGGGCCCCGGTTGCTGGTGCCCCGGCACCGAGGGGCTGCGGTCCCGCAGTCCCTGCCCTGTCCCGCGGTGCCTGCCCTGTCCCGCGGTGCCTGCCCTGTCCCGCGGTGCCTGCCCTGTCCCGCGGTGCCTGCCCTGTCCCGCGGTGCCTGCCCTGTCCCGCGGTGCCTGCCCTGTCCCGCGGTGCCTGCCCTGTCCCGCGGTGCCTGCCCTGTCCCGCGGTGCCTGCCCTGTCCCGCGGTGCCTGCCCTGTCCCGCGGTGCCTGCCCTGTCCCGCGGTGCCTGCCCTGTCCCGCGGTGCCTGCCCTGTCCCGCGGTGCCTGCCCTGTCCCGCGGTGCCTGCCCTGTCCCGCGGTGCCTGCCCTGTCCCGCGGTGCCTGCCCTGTCCCGCGGTGCCTGCCCTGTCCCGCGGTGCCTGCCCTGTCCCGCGGTGCCTGCCCTGTCCCGCGGTGCCTGCCCTGTCCCGCGGTGCCTGCCCTGTCCCGCGGTGCCTGCCCTGTCCCGCGGTGCCTGCCCTGTCCCGCGGTGCCTGCCCTGTCCCGCGGTGCCTGCCCTGTCCCGCGGTGCCTGCCCTGTCCCGCGGTGCCTGCCCTGTCCCGCGGTGCCTGCCCTGTCCCGCGGTGCCTGCCCTGTCCCGCGGTGCCTGCCCTGTCCCGCGGTGCCTGCCCTGTCCCGCGGTGCCTGCCCTGTCCCGCGGTGCCTGCCCTGTCCCGCGGTGCCTGCCCTGTCCCGCGGTGCCTGCCCTGTCCCGCGGTGCCTGCCCTGTCCCGCGGTGCCTGCCCTGTCCCGCGGTGCCTGCCCTGTCCCGCGGTGCCTGCCCTGTCCCGCGGTGCCTGCCCTGTCCCGCGGTGCCTGCCCTGTCCCGCGGTGCCTGCCCTGTCCCGCGGTGCCTGCCCTGTCCCGCGGTGCCTGCCCTGTCCCGCGGTGCCTGCCCTGTCCCGCGGTGCCTGCCCTGTCCCGCGGTGCCTGCCCTGTCCCGCGGTGCCTGCCCTGTCCCGCGGTGCCTGCCCTGTCCCGCGGTGCCTGCCCTGTCCCGCGGTGCCTGCCCTGTCCCGCGGTGCCTGCCCTGTCCCGCGGTGCCTGCCCTGTCCCGCGGTGCCTGCCCTGTCCCGCGGTGCCTGCCCTGTCCCGCGGTGCCTGCCCTGTCCCGCGGTGCCTGCCCTGTCCCGCGGTGCCTGCCCTGTCCCGCGGTGCCTGCCCTGTCCCGCGGTGCCTGCCCTGTCCCGCGGTGCCTGCCCTGTCCCGCGGTGCCTGCCCTGTCCCGCGGTGCCTGCCCTGTCCCGCGGTGCCTGCCCTGTCCCGCGGTGCCTGCCCTGTCCCGCACTGCCCTGTCCCGCAGTGCCACCTGCAGCCCGCCCGGCTCCGCGCAGCCGCCGCCTCCTCCCGGCACGGATGGGGCTGCTTTCAGGGCACGGGAGAGCTTTGCTCCGGGGGAATCCCACCCTTTCGCTCCTGCCTGGGTTTTTTGTTGTTTTTTTTTTGTTTTTCTGATACGGACTTGCAGGAGGAGCTGAGCAGAGTTAGTGGAGCAAACAGCAGAGAGAGCAAACCCTGCTGGCAAGGGAAAATCATAGACTTCTTTTGGTTGGAAAAGACCTTTGAGATCAAGTTCAGCTGTAACCCAGCACGGTGCCAAATCCACCACTACCCCATGTCCCCAGGCACCACATCTACATGTATTTTAAATACCTCCAGGGATGGTGACTTCACCACTGTCCTTGGCAGCCTGTTCCAGTGCCTGACAACCCTTTCATTAAAGAAATCTTTCCTAATATCAAATGTGAACCTCCCCTGGCACAGCTTGAGGCCACTTGCTCTTGTTCTATTATCTGTTACTTGGAAAAACAAACCAACACTGCCCTTGTTCCAGCCTCCTCTCAGGTAGTTGTAAAGACCACAAAAGTCTCCCCTTGGCCTCCTTTTCTCCAGGCTAAACACCCCCAGTTCCTTCAGCCTCTCCTTGTAAGACTTGTTCTCCAGACCATTCACCATCTCTGTTGTTCTTCTCTGAACATTCCTTCTTGTGTTGAGGGGTCTAAGGCTGAACACAGTGTTTGAGGTGCAGCCTCACCAGTGCCACAACAATCAGTTGTGAGAAGGTGACTGAAATGCCTAAGGGTAGTGATGACAAGGGGATGCTGCTCTGTCCTACAAACACCCTCTGCCCGGGTGTCCAGACCCTTTAGCCAGGCCCTGCAAAACTTACTGCAGGTTGTGTGTATTGAGTTGGGGTCTGAGTGGGTCTGTGCACTGGGCCAGCTGATGCCAGTGCACAGGAGACTGTCCCGAGCCCCCCTTGGCCTCCACCAACAGGGACCAGGCTGCTGTGTGCACCCATGGCGGTGGTGGGGTTGCTTGGATGGCTCTGTCTGTGAGCAGGAAGGTGGGTAGCAAGTGAAAGATCTCACCTGGCTGTACCCATCTCACCTGGCTGCTGGTTTGGTCTTTGTCCTCCTCACTCTGCCCAGGTTTCTGGCTCACGTCTCTCACGCTGGGGTCCCCAGGGTGTCCTGGAGCTGCTTGCAGGCCAGCAGGTGCTCGGGAGCGATGGCCCACACTCTTGGGAGCTGGTGCTGACCCCACCACACGGGTCGGTTCTTGTCCCCCCTGTGCAGGAGCTGACTCTGCATCGGTCGACCCCTTGGTGCTGGAGCAGTATGTCGTGGTGGCAGAGTACCAGAAGCAGGAGAGCTCCGAGATCAGCTTGTGCGTGGGCCAGTTGGTGGATATCATTGAGAAGAATGAATCAGGTACAGAGTTTGACTTGGCAGAGGGCTTCGGGTTTACTCTGCGTAGCAGAGCAGGGGGCAGGAATAGCAATTGCCAGTGTTTTCCTAATAGGACCTTCGGCAAAACATCCTCCAGGCACCTCACAGGGATGTCCTTGGATGGTCAGTTGAGGTGGGACTTGGAGGAAGCAGCTTCAGTCTTGCAGGCCGTGTGTATGAGCATAGACAGGACTTTGGGGCTGTCTCTAAAGGAAGGGTCCCTGATTACCCGTGTGTTCAGCGCCAGGCACGTCTGTCTTTTGCAATCTCTACTTAATTCTTCTTTGTGCTGAAAAAGTTGGTTGATGGTCCTGAGGACAAAAGCCATTCCCAGAGCTGGCAGGCTTGTTTTATTGATGGTAGGGGACACTCTCATGGTCCCATGAAAGCCCCCATTGTGCATTCACAGCTCCTGCCTCCAGACACCATGAAGCACTCGGGCGTGGAGGGGGGGCAGGCAGCCAAGCCAGGCACTTGCTTCCAAACTTAAGTTTGCTCTTAACCTCTGCAGAGGGATTGAGTCATGTCATGGGCCCAACTTCTGGAGTTTGTTGGGAAGGGGAATTTATTCCCTGCAGTTAACGTAAGTTCTTCAGGGGGTTTAAAGATAAATTGTAAAAACAGATTTTACAATTCTGGAGACCTGGTCCCCAGAGGATTAGTTGCACCAGCATCTGTGTTTGAGAATGAGGAAGATAAAAGCAACCCTGAAGCAAGTGAAACTTCCTAGCACAGTCAATTAAAAAGATTTGGCAAATTGTTTTTTTATCAAATGTCAGTTTTCCCTTCCATGCAGGTAGCTGCTGCTTCCCTCCCTGATAATCTAGTTGTCTTTCTAAATGACTCACTGGTGAGGTTCTGAGGATAATTCTCAGTCTTTGGGTTTTTTTTCTCCCTAAAGACACAAATAGCTTGTGCTTTTAATAACTGAAGGGGGCACACTTTTATTCTGATTGGGCATCCAGGGTGGCCCAGAATTGCTCATGGTCACTATGGAGCTGTTAGGTTTCTACTGGGAGAGCTCATATTTAATTCCTACATTTGCTCTTAGCTTTTAAAATTTGCATTTCCCACAAATGTAAAGAAGGTGAGAGCACAGCAGGAGCCAGGTATCAATTTGAGTGACAGAGCAGGGAGAGCTTTGCTCCGGGGGAATCCCACCCTTTCGCTCCTGCCTGGGTTTTTTGTTGTTTTTTTTTTGTTTTTCTGATACGGACTTGCAGGAGGAGCTGAGCAGAGTTAGTGGAGCAAACAGCAGAGAGAGCAAACCCTGCTGGCAAGGGAAAATCATAGACTTCTTTTGGTTGGAAAAGACCTTTGAGATCAAGTTCAGCTGTAACCCAGCACGGTGCCAAATCCACCACTACCCCATGTCCCCAGGCACCACATCTACATGTATTTTAAATACCTCCAGGGATGGTGACTTCACCACTGTCCTTGGCAGCCTGTTCCAGTGCCTGACAACCCTTTCATTAAAGAAATCTTTCCTAATATCAAATGTGAACCTCCCCTGGCACAGCTTGAGGCCACTTGCTCTTGTTCTATTATCTGTTACTTGGAAAAACAAACCAACACTGCCCTTGTTCCAGCCTCCTCTCAGGTAGTTGTAAAGACCACAAAAGTCTCCCCTTGGCCTCCTTTTCTCCAGGCTAAACACCCCCAGTTCCTTCAGCCTCTCCTTGTAAGACTTGTTCTCCAGACCATTCACCATCTCTGTTGTTCTTCTCTGAACATGCTCCAGCACCTCAGTATCCTTCTTGTGGTGAGGGGTCTAAGGCTGAACACAGTGTTTGAGGTGCAGCCTCACCAGTGCCACAACAATCAGTTGTGAGAAGGTGACTGAAATGCCTAAGGGTAGTGATGACAAGGGGATGCTGCTCTGTCCTACAAACACCCTCTGCCCGGGTGTCCAGACCCTTTAGCCAGGCCCTGCAAAACTTACTGCAGGTTGTGTGTATTGAGTTGGGGTCTGAGTGGGTCTGTGCACTGGGCCAGCTGATGCCAGTGCACAGGAGACTGTCCCGAGCCCCCCTTGGCCTCCACCAACAGGGACCAGGCTGCTGTGTGCACCCATGGCGGTGGTGGGGTTGCTTGGATGGCTCTGTCTGTGAGCAGGAAGGTGGGTAGCAAGTGAAAGATCTCACCTGGCTGTACCCATCTCACCTGGCTGCTGGTTTGGTCTTTGTCCTCCTCACTCTGCCCAGGTTTCTGGCTCACGTCTCTCACGCTGGGGTCCCCAGGGTGTCCTGGAGCTGCTTGCAGGCCAGCAGGTGCTCGGGAGCGATGGCCCACACTCTTGGGAGCTGGTGCTGACCCCACCACACGGGTCGGTTCTTGTCCCCCCTGTGCAGGAGCTGACTCTGCATCGGTCGACCCCTTGGTGCTGGAGCAGTATGTCGTGGTGGCAGAGTACCAGAAGCAGGAGAGCTCCGAGATCAGCTTGTGCGTGGGCCAGTTGGTGGATATCATTGAGAAGAATGAATCAGGTACAGAGTTTGACTTGGCAGAGGGCTTCGGGTTTACTCTGCGTAGCAGAGCAGGGGGCAGGAATAGCAATTGCCAGTGTTTTCCTAATAGGACCTTCGGCAAAACATCCTCCAGGCACCTCACAGGGATGTCCTTGGATGGTCAGTTGAGGTGGGACTTGGAGGAAGCAGCTTCAGTCTTGCAGGCCGTGTGTATGAGCATAGACAGGACTTTGGGGCTGTCTCTAAAGGAAGGGTCCCTGATTACCCGTGTGTTCAGCGCCAGGCACGTCCGTCTTTTGCAATCTCTACTTAATTCTTCTTTGTGCTGAAAAAGTTGGTTGATGGTCCTGAGGACAAAAGCCATTCCCAGAGCTGGCAGGCTTGTTTTATTGATGGTAGGGGACACTCTCATGGTCCCATGAAAGCCCCCATTGTGCATTCACAGCTCCTGCCTCCAGACACCATGAAGCACTCGGGCGTGGAGGGGGGGCAGGCAGCCAAGCCAGGCACTTGCTTCCAAACTTAAGTTTGCTCTTAACCTCTGCAGAGGGATTGAGTCATGTCATGGGCCCAACTTCTGGAGTTTGTTGGGAAGGGGAATTTATTCCCTGCAGTTAACGTAAGTTCTTCAGGGGGTTTAAAGATAAATTGTAAAAACAGATTTTACAATTCTGGAGACCTGGTCCCCAGAGGATTAGTTGCACCAGCATCTGTGTTTGAGAATGAGGAAGATAAAAGCAACCCTGAAGCAAGTGAAACTTCCTAGCACAGTCAATTAAAAAGATTTGGCAAATTGTTTTTTTATCAAATGTCAGTTTTCCCTTCCATGCAGGTAGCTGCTGCTTCCCTCCCTGATAATCTAGTTGTCTTTCTAAATGACTCACTGGTGAGGTTCTGAGGATAATTCTCAGTCTTTGGGTTTTTTTTCTCCCTAAAGACACAAATAGCTTGTGCTTTTAATAACTGAAGGGGGCACACTTTTATTCTGATTGGGCATCCAGGGTGGCCCAGAATTGCTCATGGTCACTATGGAGCTGTTAGGTTTCTACTGGGAGAGCTCATATTTAATTCCTACATTTGCTCTTAGCTTTTAAAATTTGCATTTCCCACAAATGTAAAGAAGGTGAGAGCACAGCAGGAGCCAGGTATCAATTTGAGTGACAGAGCACTGCAACAGGCTGCCCAGAGAGGCTGTGGAGTCTCCTTCTCTGGAGACATGCAAAACCTGCCTGGACGTGTTCCTGTGTGATGTACTCTGGGTGACCCTGCTCTGGCAGGGGGGTTGGACTGGGTGATCTTTCCAGGTCTCTTCCAACCCCTAAGATTCTGTGATTCTGTGGTTTGCAGACAGTGCATTTCATCTGTGTTAATTGGCCTGGGCTTGGTGACCCAGACTGAGGGAAAGTGAATCATGAAGGGAGAAAAAAAAAAACCCAAAAGCAAACACGGTGGCTGGAGCTGCTCAGAGTCCCTCCCATTTTATTAATTTTCTTTTTTTTGGGGGGGGTGACACCTTGTACATTTAGTTAGTGTTCAGCTGTGATTCTCCCATGCTGCTCTCTGTGCTCCTTTCAGATGGCACTTGGCTTTATTGCTTTGGGGTCAACCCAGCCTCCCCTGTCGGCAGCAAGGAGGGGGCAAAGCCCCCCAGGCTCGTGAGTTGGAGGGATGGAGGGAGTTTTTTAGCCCTTGGCTGAGCTGCCTGCTGTTTTCTTCCCAGGCTGGTGGTTTGTGAGCACGTCAGAGGAGCAAGGCTGGGTGCCAGCGACCTGCCTGGAGGCCCAGGATGGTGTCCAGGATGAGTTCTCAATGCAGCCTGATGAAGGTAAGAAGCTGCTGGAGACATCTGCCCCAGCTTCTTCCT